AAAAGGGTTTTTTTATCTTTTTTATTTGGATTCCTGATAAGTGTCCATTAGCTCTTTCTTTTAACATGCATTAAATCTAACTAATGGATATCAAACCAGCTTAGAAAGATGGTAATTATAAAGCAATTGTAACAAAGACTTTGGGAGCACAACTGTGCTAAGATATTGTTTGTATGCCTTGAAACCGTGAAAGCTCAGTCTTTATGGAGAGATGAAGTTGCATAGATGGGAGAGCAGAGATTGCAGACAACGTGATGTGAATTAGCAGTCCTTGGCATGCTTTGGGACTGTCTGAGCTAGAAAGAATTGAGCTGATTCTCAGATTCCAGAATAACTGGGGGGGGGACATTTCTTTACAACTGTGTGCTTATCTGCTTATACATACGCAGGGCAGCTATCTTTCTTGGTTTGCTTCTTTTTTTACTTAACATGTACAGATCGAATGAGATATAGTGAACCTAGCAAAATCTTTCTGCAGTCTTTTACAAGCAGATGCGATTAATTTTAAAATCAATAAACAAAACTGAATATACAGGTAAAAATTATCTCCCCTTGCTTCCATCCCCCCAGATTCTGTGAAGTGTTATTTTGCCTACCCTGTAGAAAGCTTAATTAACCTAATGGGAATATTTTCCATAAGGGGTGCTTTCAAGCATCTTTCTCGTGTGTCTTGTCCGTTGTTAGATTGAAACAAAAATATCTCATTTGACAAAGTAACATCTAGGAGATTGCAGTCTCTGGGAAATCAAGGGGAATGCATTGTGAAGTTGCAGATTCTTGGGGTCTTGCCTTTTATTGATAGATCTCCTTCGTCATGCCATACATTAATTTTAACTCAGGTGATATATGAACTTGGCACATTAGTTAATGAAAGCTAATTCACAGTAATCTTGTCATCACTAGCTGCGCATGATAATTCAATCTGCTTCTCGGAAGAGCTGTTCAACATGCAACAAATTTGATTTAATATTGACATGATGTACTAGGTTAGGTATTTTATTTAACGTACCATGTGCCTTATTTGATGAGAAATGTTTTTCTTTCAACAGGTTATCTACCTGAGTTAGTAGGCCAGGTGTGTAGTTTAATACATTTAGATCAAACACCGTCTGGACTGGGTATTCATTATGTGATACACTGCGCAGGCTGGGGCAAATTCCCGAGTTCTGGCACTTCATGCATTAATTTAATGTTGTCAGTGTGCTTGAGAGCAAGCCCTTCAGAGCAGAACAATAAAGCTAATGCTTCTCTCATAGGCTGAAAGCGTGAAGTCCCTCTTGCCGCGTTTGTACACGTCTGTTGTAGCTCCATCACCACTGGCAGGGTCTGACCCAAAAATGGCAGAGTACAGCCTGGGGGTCTTGACTGTGACTTGGAGTTCTCCCGGTGTTTCTGGTCTGTAGTAACTGCTGTGAGTCTCTGCTTGGGCAGGATACAGGGATTTTGGGATGGCGTGGTTAATACTTTGATTTCCAGAAAATGCGTACACACACATATCCTGCAGGCCAGATTGGGCAGTCTGTACTTTTTCACTTAAACCCTAACAATAGCAGCCTCAGTCCTCAGGTGTGTAAGAACTGTGCAGTCTGCCACTGTATATTTGCCTAATTTGTGTAGTAATAGGGGCTGGATGCTGGATATGGGAATGTATTTCCTTTATTTTAATATAAAGTATATGAAGATATATCCCCGTGCATAGGATGTAGAAACATGACATTATTTACTTTTATAGCAGGTAAATCATCACCAACCATCTTAGTATAGTGGAAGACTTTATATAGCACCCAGAAGGTGTTAGACGCTGTAGCAGTATATATCCACATCGCTCCATTGAATACTCTAGTGCACAGATATATGTTCATGTCATTACTGCAGCACACGAGTATCTAGTGGATACGTCTTGCTTAAAGACAGGCTAAACATACAGAAAACTGAGTGATACATAGATGGTGAGTATAGGTTAGACCAGCTTATCCCCTGGGAGCGGTCCTCAGGAGTGGTACCCTCAGCACGGGTAACAGGAGATGCTGTCACGCTCTTATTCTTGGGTCAGCGTTGCCGGGTGGGAAATGTGTATGCATAGGAATGGGAACGGATGTATCGGCCACCATCCACACTGCAGAGAAGAAGAAGTAATTTGCAGCCGGTTTACAGGAGACTGTGGTCAGACAAGCAGCCCCAGGGAGCAGCGGAGAGCCGGGGAAGGAAGCGGCTGCTGCAATTCCATCCTGCGCTGCAAAGTGCTGCAGCCACACAGGGCCCTTTGCAGAGGACGCTTTATTAAGTTAGAAGTTAGTAATTAATGCTGAGTTCCTCTCTTTATTTTCTCTGTGGTTGGGTTTCATAACAGAAATTAAAGATATGAGATAGGGAGCAGATTGCCTCTTGAAATACAGCTCCCTGGTGCTCAGTTCATGACTTTAGAGACATTTGTCCAGTCCCATCTCCCTTTATGGGAATGTAGGTCAAACGCTGTTGAAATAGTCCTTTTTTCTAGAGCAGATGTGCTCAGTCCTATGCTACGCTGTAGAAAAGAAGCAAAAAGATCAGGGGAAGAGCGAAGGAGACCTACTATACGCTCCATCCACAGTATAGCTGCTGTCAGCTCAGCCCATGCCCACCACAGCAGCAGCCTGTTGGGTTCCCCTGCCAAGCTGGGAACACACCATCTCCCACATGTCCTGGTTTATTCTGGAAACCACAGTACGGCCTGAGGGACCCCAGATGAGAAGGGACCAGAACTGCAGGGTGCTCTCCTCTGAACTTAGTAGCCCAAGTAATTTTCCTTTCTGAGTTGTTTCTTGCACTAGGAGTGAATCACGAAATACCACCTGTTTTTTGGAATATGTCCTAAGACTGCACATGTCCTAAAATAGATTCTGTTTTCCTCTTCCACTTCTGTTTTCATTAGCCCCAGGTTTTGACATTCTGTTCAGAGATATTTTCAGTATAGAATGCGTTAAGATAACATAAATTCCAAATCAAACATCTCATTCAGCACATTTCCTATTTAAATTTCTCCTGTACATTTCCCCTGAACTTATCTAAGGGTTGGCTTCTTCATTTGTATTAGTTGTCTCGTGATAACTGGTTTTGCAAAAGAGCGAAAAAGGAATGCTTGAAGAGAAAGGAGAAAATTCATTGCTTGCACAGCCTTGTTTCAATTCACTGTTCCTTCCCTCTCCTGAAGTTTATTGATCAGAAAAATGTTAAAGTTGTCGAGTAGTTTGTTTTCATTTCACAAATGTGAATCAGGATTATTGCAGAAAGATAAGAACGTATTCATCATTAGAATTTGCTTTACACATTCATTTATTTTTTAATCTATAATTCTTATTGAACTAAGAAAACTCGCAGGGATATGTATCACTACAGAGAACAAAAAGAGCCTGATTGAGCTGGATGGAAGGAGATGAGCAAAGCACTTTCCACAGAGCAGAAATACAAACTTATGAGGCCACTTCTTGCTAATACTGAGAAATGTTGCTTTCCCAAAGTTGGGGAAGATACTGGGGGGATTGCCTACGTGCCGAGTGGCGTAAAGACATTTGGCTAGGGTACAAAATTTGGGCATGCTGCAGCCATTGGTAGATCTGCCCATTTAGAGCATGGGGTATGTTTTTAAACTCTCTCGCAAACAGATGCAAGCTCTCCAGCTCTCTGCTTTCTCTGAACTGCAAGTTTGGTAGCTTTGTGACCAAGCTGGGGATCTTGGCTTATTAGATGAGACAGGATACAATGTTGACGTAGCCACACGTCCTCGAGTTTGCCAGTGGCTTACATCTAACCGAGTGGACAGAACAACTCAGCTCTTTTTGTAAAACAACGCATGGATCCATCTTGAATCAGCTCAGGTTCTCGTTGCGACGACTTTGCATCTCCTCCAGCATGGCAGGTTGATAAGTTGGTTCATCTGTTCAGAGTTCCCGAATGAGCAGTGTTCAAGCGGTAGATTCCATCTTTCCATTGACGCTGTTGGGTTTGGTGGTCACTAAACGAGGTTATGTCTGGTTTCACTGTTTCTCTTTGCGTCCCACTCCTCCTTTCAGGTCTCATGTCATTAGATTCATCCACTGTTGCAGATTGCTTTTTGTAAGCAGTATGTGTCTGCCCTTTTAGTCATTCTCTCCTACCAATGTAACAAGCGTAAAGCTGGGCCCTATGAGCTCTGGGGGGTCACAGGACCATGCAGCTGCAGGAGTCCATCCAATCAAGTAACATCTTTTACCCTCATAATGATAATTTCCCACTTTAGCAAAACACCCTGCTGCCAAACTCCAGTGATAATGAGCCTGTCAGTGCATCAGTGCACTCCCAACAGTATCTAGAAAGTAGGGATTGTTTTTTGCAAGGCAAATGAAGACACTGGTGATTAGCAAGAAACAAACCAACGATTCAATACATCGCTGGCCACACATACCAAATCATTGATTTTCTGTCCTGCTGGGCAGCAGCTGTTCCGTTTGCTCTGCAGAAATGTTTGGTGTTTTTTCTCCAGAAGGGGCCGGAAAGGTGGACGTTTCTCCAAGAACTGGAGGCAGCAGGCAGTTTCTTCCTGCACTGGGCATGGGCACATTGATGGGGTCCTTCTGAAGCTGCTGAGAAGTCTGATGGGCTTTTCACTATTAAACTCTACTTCTGAATGCATGTGAATGCAGTGATTGGATGGAAAAAAATCTCCTGTGAGAATCTATATGAAATTGCAGGACAAAAAATGCTGCCCTAAAACTTACAATCACTGAAAGAATTAGAAGTTAATCATAGATATCCTCATATGACTTCGTGCTATATACCGGTTATGTGTAATCAGTATCCTTACAGATCATCTAGTCTCAGCAGTGTTGCTATTTTCATAATCCTCGCCTTGTCTAGCTGGCTGGATTGAAATGGGATGTCTTCTCTGTAGCATTTCTGAGTAAAATGCATGACCTCGAGTCAATGGGACTGCAATCTGCTCTGCAATGAGATAGTCCTGATATTTCATCTTCTCTTGTTCCAAGGTACCTATGTGATGACGGTGACAGCAAATGATGCAGATGATAGCACTACAGCGAACGGGATGGTGAGATACCGAATCGTGACTCAGACCCCACAGAGCCCATCGCAAAATATGTTTACTATTAACAGCGAGACGGGAGACATTGTCACTGTGGCTGCTGGACTTGACAGAGAGGTGAGTTTAAAAGCCATCATACCAGGTTTCCCATTGTTGAGGGTTGCTGACTTGCAAAGCCCAAATCCTGTCTTGAATACTAAGCCTCTAAAATTTAGTTTGAGTTGCGACATGGAGATCGTGGTCTTTGCTTCTGCAGCAACTGTGGGGCATCGTGGCTTTAATGTGATATTTTGGTCTTCATCCATATCAGTCAATGAAACCCTGGGAGAATCTTCAAACTCATGAAGCTGATATTTTCCTTGTGTAAATTTGTACAACTCAAAGATCTAGAAAAGACTCCAGATGGAGCAGGGGGATGAATAAATTGGCATTTGTCCCCCTTCTGTCAGGGGACAAATAAAGTGCCGGACATCTATAGATTTTCTAGACCTTGCTTAGTTCTTTGCATGTTATCTTTGGAAGCAGTTACACAGCCTCTACTCAACACACTTTGCATGTTTCATGATGGCATCCTTGTGTCATTTCCAAACTATGAAAATGTCTTCAGTGATTTAGGTTGTGTGTGAGGCTCTACCTTTAATGCCTCTTCTTCATGGCATTTTAAAATCTACAGCTTTTCCAAATGCAGAAGAAATTTCATTTTTACTGACAAAAACATGCCCTGCCAATGTAAGCTATATAGTATGATTCTCGGAGCTCCGCCTTCTCTAGTTGTGAGTATAGCTCAAAGACAAAGCATTTAACCTCACACATTAAACAAAAATCAGTGTAGCATCAGTGCTGGGCTGGAGTGACTGGGGAAGAAGGGGATGAGGGTCAATGGGTGTGAAGGGAGAGGGGGAACGTAAGTTCTGGGGGTTTTCCCCATAGGACTGTGCGGTTTGTGGAGTGTCACCTGTCCCATGCAATTAGGAGATCTTGATCAACGAAATGATGGGAAGGATCATTTGTTCATTGAGCAACCAACCACGGATAGTATGGCTGTACGGCAAATAGGAAAGTAAAGACTTACACAGTCTTAGTCTCAGATGTTGAAGTTCAGGCTGTCCCCGGGGATAACAAGTCCAGTGAAATCCATTTTGAGAGAGCCCAGCGTGCTGCATTTCTGAGAGAAGGCACCAGAAACTGGTTTCGTTCTCCTTTCTCTCCTTTCCTCCCCCGTGACCGATGGCAGGAACGGAGCGAGCGGGAGGCCCCACAGGCAGACTGATGCATGGGTTTCCTGCCTGGGACACCAAATTCAGAGGGGTGAAAACCTCCAGCACCTCCGAGATTTTTTTTCCCTTGCACATCAGCCCTGGCAGCACTTTTTTGGCCCCGCTGCAGAGCACTCTGCCAAGCGCCAGCTGACGGGCATTGCTCTGCCGGGGTTCGTGCCCATTTCATTCACATGTCTGGGGCCGCTTTTTTGCTTCAGAGCTGCACGGTGGCTTTGGGCGGAATCCCGAACGTGACTCCAGAGCTGCTGCTGAGAGCGGATAAAAGCACCGGCAGCAGCTCGGCAGCAAGCAGAGTGCCCCGGGGCAGCCGGCGGGACCAGCACAGGGACGGGGGCTGCTGGCTGGGAACGGTGCAGATTTGGGGCTTGCCCAAGGCACAGTTTCAGGGCGAGACGACCCCGGGGGGAGACAGTGTGCGAAACAGTTTTCCAAGGAGAAGGTGGAGTGAGCAGAGAGCTTTCCAGATGTGAAGACAAGAAGCGGAGCAGGGGGAGCAGGAGATGCACCAGAGCCCGTTCCTTCCCACCTGACGTGGCAGACTTTGCAAGCGCAACCTGGGGCAGATTTGACCTTTCCCTCCTCTTTTTATTTAGAGAACCGGAAAGTTAGCTGAATCTTAAGCAGGTAGATTATCCTAGGCAATGCTGAAGCCTGCAGCGTGCTTGCAGTCGAAGAGGAGAAACAAGTGCTGTAGAGACTGCTGGCAGCCCTCGGGGGGGACGGTGGCAGAGTACTCGGAGGAGAGATCTGAATTCTGGCAGGAAAATGCTGATTTTATGGAAATGACAGAACTATTATTGCCCCCTCGACATCAGTGGGGGCCAGCATTTTAATGTAGGGCTTTATGGGTGGAGAAAGGTCATCTGTTTGTATTAATTTCAGAGACCTAGATTGGGATAGCTTGGTGGGAGAGAGGTTTTAATCTCAGCAAATCAGCTGAAAAAAGAGGCAGGTGATAATTAGGGGGAAAGGATAAGGCAGAAGGGTTGTCTTTTTTCAGATTTATCTGATTGCATTTGAAGTATTTTAAAAACTTGCAGGGGAACCATATGCTTCATGTTAGTTCTCCTGTTGCACTGGGTCTGGGAAATCAAGGCAAGCTGGCACGTTGTATGTGGAAATATGGTTGAGTGTCCCAAGCTGAGTACCAGGTTGGGCAAGGGACACTTGGATCGAGGCAGAACAACCAGCTCTGGGCACAATCCTGGGGCTGCCCTGAAGCTATGGGACATGCTTGTTCCCAGCACTCTCTGCTGTGTTTCAGGATTACATCTGGAATTGGCAAAAGTTTCTATTTTATTAATGTAAAATTGTATTAGGTCTAAATTGAAAAATGTGTTTAAGCATTCCCATAACTGTACCACAGATTGTTTTTTTGTTTTTGTTTGTTTTTCCTGAAATCTTGAGAAAGCTATTAGAGGAGTAAATTTGGTTTTGCTGCTGACATTTTCTTGTTGTTAGGAAAAGGAGCCGAAGAGCAGTATTTGGAATGCAGATTTGTGTAAATTAAAATGTTAACAAATCTGACCTATTCAGCTGAAACTACTACAACCAAGATAAATTCCCTGGATGCCAGTTATTTCTCCAAATGCTTATTGACACATTTATCAGTGCCTATGACGCTATTATGTTAAGCTGTGTTGAAACAGAACCAGGTTTTCAGTCTCCATTGGACCCTTCTACCTTGCTTCTGCAATGCAAAGGCGCCTCAAAGCAGGTGCGAAAATAACTGTCAAAGCTATTCTGTGTCTGAGAGACAGGTCCATGTTCCAGATCCAGCATTTGTCTTTCAGAGGGGAGAAAAGTCACTTCAGAACTGGTGTTTCTAGCTCACCATTTCTGTTGCATGCTCATTAAATGAGACTTCCCAATGCTCCCAGTATCTCCACTTAAATATTGGTTCTTTACTGGTTTCTTTCATTGCCTTCAATTCGTGAAATGGCCAAGAAAATGGATAAGATGTTCCAGCTTGTTTTGTGTTATGAGAAGTGTTTTTGGTTAACCTGCAAGAAACCTATTTTAAGACCAATTCATGTAGTTTGCTGCTGTTTCTAAACCCTCATTTCCACAAACCAAGAAGGAAATTAAAAACTCGGTCTCTCAAATTGTGCTGGACTCTCTAAATGTGTCTGACACTGAAGATAGCAAAATGAAAAGCCAAGGTATTAAAATATTCATGGCTTTAAAGTTATCTTACCTGGTTCCCATTAATCTGGATGTAAATATGGTTACAATGCTCTGTGTCCATTCACTCATTAAGACTGTGCTTAATTGAATGGATCCCCGAGGAAGATAAAGATAATTGGACTGTACTTCATAAAAATTATTAAAGGAGGACAGTTTAGCAACAGCCTGATTTAAGCTCCTGGATGCCTAAGGGTGAGAAGTGCCAAAGGTGGAACAAAGGAACATCTATCCCTTGAACTAATAGGGAAAATGATAGGGATTCAGAGTGCGCCAGAGGTTCAAAGGTGCATTCAGACAGCCAGGCTTAGATGAAAAGGTTAAAAGCAGATGCCTGCTCTAATACAGGAAAACGTCAGAGAAACGTAGGAAGTCTGTAGCTGATTTAATGAAACTAGGAGGGAAAGATCAAATAGTGGTAGGAGCACAAAATGTGTGGATTAATAGGGAAGGCTGTGAACACGAGATGGACAGGTTGTAGCAAACTTCGGGGGGTAGGAGGGGACCATGCTAGCTCATTTAGTTTATGGTAGGCTGCTGCAGAAATGGGTGGTACTACTAGGAGATGCTACCCAACTGATAGCTTAATTTAGCAGTGCATCTGAATTCCAGATTTCATTGCTCTTTCTTCTTTCCACTGGGAAGAAAATAAGAGGTAAAAAAGGGTCAGCTGTCCCCAGCTGGGGCTTCAGAAACAGGCAGAACGTTCATATTTCTGGTTTTGGTTCTGAAAAGTAACATTTCTCCTTAAAACCATGCAAAAGGGACCAGATCTGTTATGCATGTTAGCTCATTTTGTCTGCTGCCGCTCACGCTGGCGTCCCAGGTGGGGATCGAGCCCAGACTGTCAGTCTGACGGCGAGCTCCTGGTGCAGTAATTCAAGCCCATCAGCTCTTTTGATTTCTCTGGTGGCAGAATATCTGTCTCAGTAGCACAGTAAACCTGCACTGGGGCTATACTATAGGCAATACCATCCTCTGAAGAGCTTCCCCTGAATATTTTATGAACATGGACTTTGAGCAAGCAGGAGGAAAAAAAAAAGAGGTGAGAGAAAAGGAGCTGGTTGATCCCCCGCTCCGCTGGCAGGCCAATAAATGTCGAGACATCTCAAATGTCATCCAGGCTTATTTGAGATAATAAGTATTTCGGCTCTGCGGTGCTTGTAGTGTAATGTTGCTAACTTCTTGAGATCTCCTTTAGAAAGGAGTCCCTTCCCGGCACATTCATCTCATGTTGGAGAAATGAAGAAAGTCAGGAGCTCTGAGTTGCTTCTTCCGAATTTCTGTATGTTTATTTTTTTTTTTAAAGTGATTGGATCGCTGCTGCTGCAAATGCTTTTAAAAATACATGAAATCCGATTCTATGATTACTACACTTGGCTTTCCGAAAACGTGATGTTGCTAGTCTTTCTCAAGTGAGGGAAGGATAAAAGAGAGAGCCTGCCAACAACTGAGTTAGTGGCTTATTTTATTTATGAATGAAATGGCAGGATTTTTGCGGGGAAGAGGAAAAGTTCTTCTTATTAGCAGAGACAGTTGATTTCTTTTCCAGTACTCTGGTTTTGGTGCAACTAGACATTTCTGATAGAGCAGAAATTTGAAATGTTATGTTAAAAAAAAAAAAAAGGTATTTTGCTCCTCCAAAAACTGAGC